GCCCAACAGCTGTGCCTTTAAACACTTTGGTAAACAACTTCCTGGAAATCACAGTACTGCAGTCCAGGGAATGCTCCCAGTCAGACAAAATGAAAGCCTTTGCACCAGTCACTGAAGGGACCTGGCAAACAGGCTGAGACTCACACCCACTGTTCTTTGAGAACAGGGTCCATATTGCTTCTGTGGCACTAGCCATCTGCTCACAGCCACAGCTCTGTGGCAAGCTGTGTAAACTGTCACAGTGCTCTTACTAACAGCAGCTGCTGCTTTCCTCACCACATCTCTTCTGGTGCTTTAGCTTTCAACAGGGTCAGAGTTCTCCAAAAGTTTGTTCAAATAACTTTTGCCAACAAACTCATTCCTTTCAGGGAGGGACAAGGCACTCTAGTTCCCTACTCAGCAGTTTTGGGTGATATGCCATCTCCCACACTATTTCATCTTCTTTTGGGATTTGACTATTAGTTCTGATCTGCTCTCGGAATGGATGTATGTCCAGCACAGTGTTTCAAAGCCTGTGCTGTTGTCTAGCATACCATCAAACAATCTAGCTGGTTACTGCCAGTTAACCACTCTCTTATTGTCTCCTCTTGAAACTCAGAATAGATGTATTTGGGATTCAACTCAGGGTCCTGTAACTTGCCTTGCAGACACTCTACTGTTTGAGCCACGCCCTCATCTGCGGTATCAATTTTTATAATGGTTTTGCTACATTCTGATGTATTTCCAGAGTTTCATTTTCCAGTTCCCTAATTTTCTCACCAACTATCTCCCATCTGTTATAGAATGGACTTATGAATCTTTTCATTTTCTGATAGAAATTGTCTAAGATTTTCATAACACCCACAATTTTCTAAACAACTCCTCTTTGTAGTTCTAACACATAAGCATCTTTCCAGTTTCATCCATAATGTCCATTGCCTTGATTGAGAATTCCCATGATTTTCATTGCAGTGTGACCTCATACACTGTGTTACTTACTAAGGGACTCCTTCATAGAACTTTTGACCTATATCATCCTGGGTTGTAAAATCTTGAAGAAATGCTGCTTGGGGGCCGGCCAGGTGCCAGTGACTCACACCTGTAATCCTATCATCAGGAGGATTGCAGTTCAAAGTCAGTCCTGACAAATAGTTCACGAGACCCTATTTCAAAAAAAAAAAAAAAACCATCACAAAAAAGGGTGCAGGGAGCTCAAGGTGTAGGTCCTGAGTTCAAGCTCCAGTACAACAACAACAAAAAGAAAATTGTTGCTTGGGGGACTGGAATATATAGTTCAGTCATAAGAGGGCTTGTCTAGCACATGCAGGCCCTGAGTTCAAGCCCCAGCACAAGGGTGGCGGGGAGAGGGGGGAATGCTGTTTACAGTTGCCCATGGAGTATGTGTGCTCTAAAAGCAATGTTCTGATCAGGTTTTTAGTAATGCATTGATTACTAAACCCAGCCTTATAAGAAATGTGGGAGACATTTCTGCCATATTAGAGGCAAAAGCTGCCCACACTAGTGGAGAATTTTCACTCACACATGGGGAAAGGAGCGGGATTCTATCAAGTATAGAGATTCCAGACCCCCATTTATCAACAGGCAGAAGGTTTTTATGTTGTTTCCAGCTTCACACCCATGGGGCTTGTGATAGCTTTTCTCATTGTTGTGATCAAATACCTGGCAGAAACAACTTAAGGGAGGTTTCAGACCACCACGCCTTGAAGGATGTTGTGGAAAAGAACAGTTCTGTGGGATGTCTCTTGAGTCTGGTTCATTCTTTCTCTTAGATGCTGGGCCTTTTGAAAATCTTTGCCAGCTACTCATCTGATAAGGGACTAAGATCCAGAATCTACAAGGAACTCAAAAACCTTAGCCCCCAAAGAATCAACACCTCAATGAAGAAATGCACACATGAATTAAACAGGCAATTCTCAAAGGAAGAGGTACAAATGGACTGTAACTACATGAAGAAGTGTTCAACTTCCCTGGTTATAAAAGAGATGCAAATCAAAACATCACTTAGATTTCATGTCACCCCAGTTAGAATGGCCATAATCAAGGGCAGTAACAAGAAATGCTAGAAAGGATGTGGTGAAACAGGAACCCTTATACACTGCTGGTGGGAATGCAAATTAGTACAACCACTATGGAAAGCAGTATGGGTGGAGATTCCTCAAGAAGCTAAAGATAGAACTGCCATATGATCCAATGGTACTGCTCCTAGGCATCTACCCAAAGGAATGTAAGACAGACTACAATAGAGACACCTGTACACTGATGTTCATCACAGCACTATTCACAATAGCCAAGCTTTGGAAGCAAAACAGGTGCCCTACAACTGATGAATGGATCAAGAAAATGTGGTGTATATACACAATGAAGTTTTACTCAGCCGTAAGGAGTAATGACATGTGGTTTGAAGGTAAAGAGATATAATTGGAGGACACCATGTTAAGTGAAGTAAGCCAGGCTCAGAAACACAAAGGCCACATTTTCTCTCATATGTGGAAGATAGATCCAAAGATAAACATACACAAAAATTAGCATGATCATATACAAATTCAGATGTAGAACACGTTTGTAATTGTGGAACTCCTCTATGGAACTTGGGGAATGAGGGAAAAGAGAATGATAGAGCATCAGTAATAACACATAATATAAAGATGTGAAGGTAGAGGATACAAGGATGTGTACCGAAAGCTGTTGAAAAATGGGGAGGAAGGTAAAGGGGTAAGGAAGAGTAATGGAAGGGGTTGAGCGGACCAAAGAAAGGTATACCCACAGTGGGCATACGTTGACACTCCTTTGAACATCAACTTAAATATTAATAATGGAAAACAGGACTGTAAAATAGGTACAGTGTGCAGGGGGTACTAGTGGAGAGGGGAAGGTGAATGAAGTAGACTAAGGTGACAGTAGATAGCAGACAGACTTCATATGCCTATACGAAACAGAACTAAGAAACCTCTTGCAATTGCTTTAAGTGGGGTGGGGAGGAGGTAGAGGGGGAGACTATGTAAATAATGTAAAGAATGTACAATGTAAGTCTAATCAGAATTGTCACTATGAATCCCCCAATGAATATCACCTAATAAAGAATTTATTAAAAAAAAGAGTTCACATAATTATAACCACAAAGCAGAGCTCTAATAGGATGGGGTAAATGGAAACAGTTTTCTGCTTGTACATGGGAGCGCATGAATCTCTTAGTGTGAGGCCTTGGCTGTTGGAGAGCCCCTGGGGCTACAGATATTGGGCTATCCTGGAAAGATAAACCCTTGATCTAAGCTCCCCATCCCCACCCCAGACGCTGCTCTGAGACTCACCATCTGAGGTCAGGCAGCTAGACAGCCAGGTGACTCCCCTCTGGTCCTTACTGGAGAACTCAAGTCTCCTTAATCACACAATTAACACCAGTGGACCACTGGGCAGCATCCAGCCAGCCTGTCCTGAAGCACATGGGTGTTTGAATGCTACTTTCCTTCCTGGTCACCTCTAGTGTCTCTTCTCACCCTTCAGCTGTGAATGCTGTAGGGCTGTCAAGACTGAAGCTTGTGACTGTAGTCTGTCCTGCACAATGAGGCCAGGGACTGTGGGGACGGAAATGCACACTCTCCATTCCACAATCTAGCTCAGCTAGGGCTTCCCCATTTATTCTCCTTCATCAGGTTCCATGTTGTAGGAAATAGTAGGTCATGACACAGGCTCCCTCCATCCACCCTTCCCATGGAACCTAACTTCCTCGGTAGGGGCACCAGGGTTACTTGAACTTCTGTATGTCAACAGCTCCACAGCCACTTCCTGTTTCCAGGCCTGACCTCTGCCCAGCATCACTCATCACTACCCCGGCACAGGGGCAGCTGCCCCTGCCCACACTCAGGCATTTAGCTCCCTCTCACTCCCCACAGACTGAAGTATAGGAGTGGAATCAGGCAGACATCCTACTTGCCTCTTGAGCATGTCCATTCCTGCCTAAACCCTCAGGCTTCACAGGACCCAGGTATATGCCTCCCCACAGCCCCATCTTCTGGCTTAAGACCCCTTCAGGATGACCTATACTCACCTGTGCATCTTAGCCTTCAGGGAGACTTACTCTACAATGTCTTCCCTCATAAGAACAGCTCCCAGACAAGCCCAGCTTGGACACTTCCTTGTCTACTAGGAAGACCCCACAAGGCCCATCAAGGTGTGGCCATGGGCACTAAGGTAATGAACCTCAAGCAGGCTAGAGACAGTAAGAGCTTCCAGAGACTTCAATTACAATGTTTCAGGGCTACCAAAGCAACCCAGCTGTCCCTAAATCCATGAAACCTCCAAGACATTGAAAGTGGTAAACAGGGAGCACCTACCACCTGACACATTAAGCTAATTTGTTAAAGGACCCTGCACTGAAGCTGCACACTTAACTGTCTTAACAGCCCAAAGTGGCTGTAGCCACGTTAGGAATTGCTCAATTTCAAATGTTCCCACTTCTCAGAAACCAAACCACTTCCTCCCATCTGACACTTCTCAGAAGAGCAGAAATAACAGCAGCGCACTTCTCTCTAGACCATGTATGAAGAACCCCCTTAAACATCCCACCCAAAGGTCACTAATCCACTTCCCACTCACCAGACTCATCTTGAGATCACGGTGCAGTAATCTTTTAATTGGTCTGCTTCTGCTGTGCTCAACCGCAAGTATTTCACCAGTCAGCCCAATTCCATTGCTAAGATGATACGGACATGCACTTGCCACTTCCTGACCAGACATTTGGCTCATCCCTGGGCATATGCAAATGTTTGGCTGATGGACTCTATCCTGCTCACTACTGTGTATTATAGCCCACCAACCATTTGGGAGGTGTTCATAAGCATGTGGACTTTTAACCAGGCCTTTCCTACCCACCTGGAAACACTTGAGGGCAGGAAGTGCTGCAATGGCCCGGCCTAGACCCAGCCAAGCTTCTTCCACTAGGTAAGGATGTATCTGGAGCAGATACGAAGACTGTGGGAATGGAACACACAAACACCAATTCCAAAGCACTGATACTATTTTATTATCAGACTAGAAAACTAGACACCTCTACAGCCCACCTGGGTGGACTTAATCCTTAATCCTCCTCCTCATCATCACCGGCTCCAGCCCCGCCCTGGCCCTTCTTGGCATTCTTCCTCTTCACACGGCCTGGGCGGCCACCCCCATATGGAGATCGCAGGGAGAAGTCAATGTGCTTCTGGGAGTCCAGGCGGACAATGAAGGACGGGATGTTCACTACCTGCTTTCGGACCCTGAATGGAGGGAAACAGATGAAGGAGACTGAAACTGGACCCCACCCAGGACACAGGTGACTCTTCTTCACTTGTTCTTTGAGTTGATGTGGCTGGTGCTTCAGTGGCAATGATTGGTGTGAGGCTGAAGGGTAGTCCCAACACAGGCCCTGGGTGTCTGGGCAGGCTTTGGGGTATCACTTAACCCACACAAATGCTTTATATGAGCTTTTCACCCACTTCACAGACTGGGAGTGAAATTCAGAAGGAACCCACACAAGACCACAAAGCAAGTTAAGGTGGCAGTGTATGAACCCACGCCTGATTTGTGCCCACTTCACAGCATGTGCAAGTGGTACTCAAAATTCTCACTTGCCCTCCAACTGCCTTTATCCTGGCCATTTGCCTCCAGACCTCAAAAGTATGCATTAAGTTAATGACTAAGTATAGAATAACAAGCCCAACAACACACAAGTCTCACCTGCCAAGGGGGCACCAAAAGCTGTTTGCTACCTGTCCAGCTGCTCACATGCCTGCCAAAGGCCTTCACAAGGTGTACGGCTAAGGCCGCAGTGACCCTTGCGCTGGGCTATGGGGTGATGAGGCTGTCCTCAGCTCCCCCATGAGCTTTTTGTAGGGGGTAAATCACTACCCTCCAGGTAAGCTCACACCTTTGTCAGCTCCAAGGGCTGCACAGGAGACAGGGACAGCAGGTTTAATGGAAACAAACACCGGAGGGGATGGGCTGGGGAAGAGGCTGGGGCATGGCTGCAGTGGTACCTGATATGACGCTGACGGATGAGCACCCGGGCATGGTGGATGGACTTAGCTAGGCCCAACTTGAAGACCTGGGTCTGGAGGCGCCTCTCCAAGAAATCCTCTATCTTCAGGCCCAAGATGTAATCCAGCTTCATTTTGCCTTCATCCAGCACCCCGATGCGAACAAGTCGCCGCAGCAGGGCATTGCCTGGGAACAGAGGAAGTTAACTCAGACCTCTTGGGTTCACACCTTGGCTCCACTTAGTTAGCTACATGTTGTACTAGTGAGACAAGAACAGCTAATTGATATTGGACGCAAAGCCAACTTAAAACAAAGCTAACGTGCTTTGGCAAAGCGGGCAGGTGCTTATATATACCTGTGCTCTCACCTGAGTAAAGAACCTCTTAGCATTATCAGGAGAAGTAAAGTACTCAACAGATTCCAGCTACAACCTCAGGCTTAGCAGACCAGCTACCTGCCACCCCAAACCGTGACTCCTGGCAGCTACCCTATAACTGTTCCCTGGGCAGTCCCCCAAACCTTTCTACTTTCACATTTAATAAAAATGGCCACTGTCCTAGTTACCTATATAGTGAACACACAGTATAAGACACTTGTAATGTTCCAGGATCTACTCTCCCAGGAAAGTCTGAAGACCCAGTGCTCCATCAGAGGGACAATTAAACGGAGACATGTGCCAAACCTTTTGCAGCATCCTAAAATATTGCCTTAACTTTTATAAATGCTGAAATAAACATCAGTGACAATCAGACATTAATACAAATGTATGTACGTAACCAGATTACCTCCTCTATTACTCCTTCCTACATTCATTATTCAACAGCTTTCAGTGCATTTTGTTGCGTGAAATTATAGCAAAACCCTTTGAACAATGAATATACACTTTAAAAAACAAAGGCCAAGAATGTAAAACAGGCTGATTGTAGGTACTAGTATGTGTGAGGAGGATAAAGAGGGTAACAGGAGGGTGAATATGGCCAACGTACCCTATATATACACTTATATGAAAATAGGACAAAAACCTTTTGAAAGGAGAATCAAGAAGAGTGAATCTAACCAAGATATATTATAAGCACATATGGAATTGTCACAATGAAGCGCCCCAGTAAAACTAATACATGCTAATAAAATAAAAAAGAAAAGAAAAATGCACTTCATATCACTTACACTCAAAATTAGAAAAGGGGACGATCAGCCAATTCCATTTCTGGCAAAACCACACTGGGGTATGAAGACAAACTTAACTGCACAACTTCAACAAGAACAGTCCCACCACTGCAAACTGTTACATGGGGTCCATCTGGCCAGTGCTTATAGAAATAAAACGTTTAAAAAATGTAAACTAGTGAGCATGGCAGGTACTGGTGTCTTGTTTCTGTCAGGAGGGGTTCTCTTGCATCTATAATCCAAGATGAAGCCCAGGCAAAAAAAAAAAAAAAAAAAAAAAATCACACTTTTTTGTTAAAGGCTGGGTCTCAGATCAAGACAGGCTATATGTCAACAACACATCTAAGTTGAGGAACAGGAGCACCTGCAAAGGCAAAACCACAGGACTTCTCCTTCCTAGCTCTGGCATAATTAGATATTTACTAGCAAGTGACACCTAAGGGGCTATCTTCCCCATGGGAACTTTCACCTTCACCACAGGAAACTCAGATAACCCTCATGGACCTATACTTGTATGCTCACTAATGTAGATCCCAGCAGTTTACTTGTGTTTGGAAATTCATCCCTAAGAAAGGAATTGGAGGCTCACTCCCCATGGCTATGGGATAGACTTCCACAGGGTGGCAGTATCTGTGGGAGGTGTTCAATCTGTGACTAAACAAGGGCCATGACTTCCTCAGTCTTCAATATGAAAGACCACGTTAACATCCAGTCAGCATTAGGGTGAAGAGGCAACTCATTCCTAAGTGCCTCTAATCAACACTGGAGAACAATCTTACCCTGTATAAAAATACTTTTAAAGCAATGCCTATGAAAAGCTTAGGAAAACACTTAGCAAGGCCTTAAAAATGATCCTGTATTTGGCTGGGGTCTGGCTCAAGTGGTATAAAATTCCTGCCTAGCCAGTACAACTAAAAAAAATTCTCGTTTTAATTCTACCAACAAAGTGGTACTATCTTAAACTACTGTAACATTAACACTGAGTACAGGGGTGTGCAATTCTAGCAGAGACAGGAGGCCCAGACCATCATAAGCGACACATCAAGACCATCTCAAAAAAAAAAAAAATTCTAAGTGCACTCAGATTTTCTGCTCTGGACAGCCCTCCATTCATTTACATTGTACCTCAGAGCATACTTTTTTTTGGTGGGACTAAGGTTTAAATTCAGACCTCATGCTTGCAAAGCAGGCACCCTACCCCTTGGAGCCATACCTCTGGTTATTTTGGAGATGGGAGATATCTCAAATTATTTGTCTGGGCTGTCCTTGAACTGAAATCCTCCTGATCTGCCTCCCAAGTAGTTAGGATTACAAGGATGAGCCACTGACACCCAGCTCAAAGTAGGCATTTTAAGGCCTTGCTGGGAATGTAGCACAGTGGCAGAACACTTTCCTAGCATGTACAAGGCCCTGGGTTCAATCCCCAGCACCACTATAAGGAAAAGTAAATAAGGCCTTAAAAAAAGGGAGCCTAGAATAGCTGTGTAAGTCACTATATAATTTGCAGCACTTTACAAAGTCACTCTCTGAAATGTTTTTCCGGGAGACTTCTGGGCGACCTTTCCTGTTCAGGACTTTATTAAGTATGACTTCAACATTGTTAATCAGCTTACTGAATAAAGCAAGCAAATTTACACACCCAAGCCCCATCTTCTTATCACTAGACTTCCAGAAATCTCACTATATACACTAACAAACAGGATGCATTACATAATTGTTTCACTACACCATACATAGCTATAATCTGGTGTCCAGGACTGATAGGAATGACCAGCTCCAGACCCCAGTAAGCTGAAAATGCCCGACACCCTTAACGTATAGGGCAACGATTCTGATTCAAATACACTTTCCCTAGTAAAATGCTTAATTAAGGACTGGGAATACTGGCTCTGTGATTCACTAGATGCCTAACATGTGAAGCCCTGCCTTGCACTGTCAGCACACACAAGCAAAAACCCTTAAGTTACGGACAGGCTGCCTCTGGATCAAGGCAGGGCCTGGGATATAGCTCAGTGGCAGAACACCAACTAAGGATGCAGAGTCCCTGCACGTTAACCCCCAGCACCACCCCGCGAAGGACCCAATAAGAAAAACCTCTAAGCTGAAGGCCAGCTCCACTAACTCTCGGTCTAGTTTGGCGGCACTGCACCGCACTCAGCCCACGGCTCATACGCACCTTCGAAGAGACGCCGCGGGTCCTTCTCGTCCAGCGTCAGCAGCTCCCGAGCGGCCTTGCGGATCTTGGCCAGAGTGAACTTGACCCTCCAGACCTCACGTTTGTTCCGGAGCCCATACTCGCCTGCACGAGAGTAGAAGAGACGGTCGACAGGTTGACTGGCAACCTCGGGCCGCCGAATATCCTTTTTAACTACCAAAGGACTCAAAGCCGACGAGCACGCGGGCGACAACCCCTCCCCCACCCCCGGCAAGAACTAACTTTCTCCACATCCCGAAACCTCACTGTGACCACGCACCAATCAACTTCAGTTCTTGATCAAGGCGAGATTTTTCGAAGGGTCTCCGCGGGGTTACATAGGTCTTGCGACAAACCCAGCTCCGGGCCACCGGCATGTTGGCTCCGTTTGCGTGTCTGCGCCTGCACGCGAGAAAACCTCTGCGTAATAACTACGGAGTGCGCCTGCGCAGTCTCCCTACTCCTCGCGACGGTCGGAGGCGATCTCGCGAGAAACGCCCGCAATTCTTTTCCTACCCGGTGTCAACCCCCAAACCATGCTCCATTCCCGTCCACTTCCCTCCATAGCTGCTTCACTGTATTCGTTAGCGCTCAGAAGGCCTATACGACCATGCACCACCCCCAAGTCCCGAACAGAATGCCTGTCAGCTCTACTCACCAATGCGCCGGCCCTAACAAAAAAGAACGTGAGAGGGCTGAGCAGGGAATTTATAATAACCCCCCTGCCCGTGATGTCATTGCGTAAGGCTAACGTCTGCGCCAATCAAAAGAAGCGTTGTTGGCGGACGGAAAAGCAGTGGAGAGGCGAGGTGAGCCAGAGTGGCTTTGGGTCGGGAGAACTAGGTTTGTGTCTCGAGAAGTACTTTGCCTGGCAAACTCCTGCATTAACGCCCCACATAGTTGTCTCTTTGTTTCAGGTAAGATGCTCTGGAGAAATGTGCCCAGAACCAGGCAAGATCAAGCCACTCTCATTGTTTTAGGCAACTTAGAATAAATTTGACTCATTAGAACATGACATTAAGCATGCTCAAAAGCGTGTCCGCCATCTTAACCTTTTGAACATGAGTTCGTAAGACCTTGAGCTGAGCATGCTTAGAAAACTGTCTGCCATTTTTCCTTCCTGAGCCATGACCTTTAACAGAGCATGCCCGGAAATGTGCCCACCCCCTAAAGTACGTTCCTATATCAGTATCTATAGATTTCCCAAATAAAATCCACATGCTTCTGTTCTTTGCGGGAAAGCATTATCCTCATCTGCTGCAGGTAATCTTTCTCCACTCTTATCTCTTGATTGTGATTTTTGGCTTTTGCACTTGCCAAGACTGTTTGGTTACACCTCAGCTGCTGGGCAGTGGTCCTCAAGTCATTCAAACTGGCTTAGGATTCAGTAGTCTGTGTGCCAGTCCTGTCTCTGGATTGGTTATTTCCATCCTCCTTAGACCTCAGCCACCTTCCCCTTGCAAAGACCCCTGACAATTGTTGCCAATCCAGGTGGTGGTTCTATGAGTAATGAAATCGTGTTCAGAATAATTTCAACCTGAAGCATTAACAAAAGCACAAGTCAGAGTACATGCAGAAAGTGAATCACCTGTTCCAGTGACTTACCCAAGAACACATGGCTCATCTTTCCTTCTGAATACTTCATTTTTGTCTTGTTTTTTGCAGACAAGGAAAAAGATGTTGGTAGAAACTCTGGCAACTTTGTTTGGAAGTTGCCCCACCTCTACAGGGGCCTCACTAGCTATTGTATACAACAAATAGTTTTTGAGCATCCCAAGGGATTGTTCTATACAATGGCACATAACAGTGGATAAAACAGCCCCTCTGTCCTGGAGCTGAGTCCTTGAAGAGGATGGGGAAAAATGAGTTAAAGTACATAATTTCAGAGTATGGTGCTTTTAAGAAAGTAACTTTAGTGAAGGTGGCACCTGATGTATTTTAGAATGGTCAGCGAAAGTGACTTCTTTTTTTTAACTTGAGACCCAAAGATTGTAGATAAGGGGACTTGTTTCCTGAGCAGGGTCACATAGGCTGAAGGTCAGAGTTGTCTTTATATGGCTGTGTCCCCTTGAAAATTCAGTGTCTTCACAGCTAGAGGTCAAGCCAAGGTTTCAGCTTGGGATGGTTCTGTAGCCCCTTGCTCTATTCAGCTTCTGACTGGCTGATTAATACCACCTCAGAGAAGCATTCCCACTCAGCACTTTATTAGATCACCCTACTCTAATTCAGACACCTGGGTTCCAATCCTGGCATAGCCACATGCCAGTCGCAATACCTGCACATACTTCTCCCTCTGCATAGGTGATGACAGTGTCCATCTCAAAGGTATATCACCAAAGGGAAGTGATGTGATCTACGTAGATGCTTAGGGTTTTGCAACAAAATAAAGCACCAGGGTTAGTTGTCATCATCACTATTCTTATCTTCATTGTACTCCTATATTCAAGAGTATCTTGTTCACTTGTGTTTTCTTTTTTCTAGTTGGCATCCATACAAAGTTTTTTGACAGTAGAAAACTTGTCTTTCCTATTTTATAGGCGTAGCATAGGCTCAAGGTGGAGTCAAGAGTAAACATATGAATGAATGACCATGAATAGCTATGTGCTTTTTTTTTTTTTTTTTTGCAGAACTGGGCTTTGAACTCAGGGCTTCATACTTGCTAAGCAGGCACTCTACCACTTGACCCATGCCCTCAGCCTGCTTGTTTGTTTTTAAGATAGGATCTCACTATGTAGCCAAGGCTGGCCTCAAACTCCTAAGTGCTGGGATTACATGCTTGTACCACCGTATCTGGCTCCCCAATACATCATCTTTTATGTTCACTAGTCAAATTCCCTCCAATCCAATCTTCTCAACCTAAATCCCAGTGCCTACAGACTTCTAGATTCAATACATCTCAAAACAAATTCATAATCTGTCCCTAAAACTTGCTCATAGAAAAAAAAAAAAACTTGCTCATAGGTCTGGAATTCTTCTCCCCTACCCACCTCCCCCATTCTTTTTTTTTTTTTTTCTGGTGGGACTGGGGTTTGAACTCAGGGCTTCATGCTTGCAAAGCAGGCACTCTGCCACTTGAACCACACCTCCAGTCCATTTTGCTCTGGTTATTTTGAAGATAGGGTCTCACAAACTATTTCCCCAGGCTGGCCTTGAACCATGAATCTCCTGACCTCAGCCTCCCAAGTAGATAGGATTACAGTAGTAAGCCACCAGTGTCCAGCTGTCTTTTTTTTAAACTGCTACAGTCTTGGAGATCAAACATAGAACATTGCACATGTTAGGCAAGTACTCACCACTGAGCAACACCCCAAGTCCTAGGTTCTCTATCTAGGGAATAGTTTCATCACCTGACTCCTAATCCAGGAATAAATCATTAAACCTATTTTTACCTTGTGCCCCCCACCTCAGCCTCCTGGCCATGGTCCATCAGTACTCAAGTTTTGTCCCTCCTGCCTCCAGACTCTGCCCTGTTCCTCCCTTATCTGTCCCTTTGAACTCAGGCCGACTCATCTCCCTCCCAGACCTTCCATGTGCAATTTCACCTTTCCGTGGACAGGATGCTTGGAGGAGAGGAGGGGAAAGGTAAGTTACTTTCCTTTCAAACTACTGTAATAAAAATTAAGTATGGTGGTGCACGCCTGTAATCCTAGCACTTGGGAGGCTAAGGCAGGAGGATTTCGAGTTCTAGGCCAGCCAGGGTTACATAGGGAGACATAGTCTCAAAAAAGTATGGCCCATTCACACAATGCAAAACTTTGTAGCTGTGAGCAAAAATGAGATAAACCTGTATGTAGCAAAAAAAGCAAGCTGCTGCAGAAGTGTGTAAATTACAATTTGTATTTTAAAAGGACCATAAAACCTGGGCATGGTGGATCACATCTATAATGCCAGCTACTTAGGAGGCTGAGATGGAGAGGATCATGGTTTGAGACCAAACTGGGCAAAAAGTTCATGAGACCACCATCTCAACCAATAACAGGGTTCAGTGGCACATGTCTCTAATCCCAGCACTTGAGAGGTTGAGGCAGGGGCATCTCAAGTTCAAAGCCAGCCTGGGCTAAGTACGAAAACTATGTCCCAAAAAGAAATAAAAGAAGCTGGGCTCCAGTGGCTCATGCCTGTAATCCTAACTACTTGGCAGGCTGAGATTGGGAGGATTGAGGTTTGAGGCCAGCCCAAGGTAAACAGTTCGAGAGAGACCTGCATCTCCAAAATAACCACAGCAAGATGGACTAAAGGTGTGGCTTAAGTGGTAGAGTGCCTACTTAGCAAGCACAAAGCCCTGAGTTCAAACCCCAGTCCCACAAATAAGTAAAACAAAAAAAAGAAAAACCAGAAACAAACAAAAAATTGGGATCCTGGGTTGTAGCTTGATGGTAGAGCACTTGCTTATATGTGCAAGACCAAGTCTGATTCCCCAATGCCACAAAATTCAAAAAACCTATGCTACAAAAAACTTGCATATTATTAAGATGTAACTGCATAGTAATGGGGTGGATTTAACCAAAGTGCATTTTATGTGTGTGTGGAAATACTGCAGTGAAAACCCTGTCAATTAATACACACTAATGAAAGTGAGAGGACACCCTTTAAGAACTCAATAAACTTAGTCCACATCTTTAAAAAAAAAAAAAAAAGATATAAACTACAGCTGTGTAAGTGTGTATAAATTAGAATATTGATAACATTAGTAATTTCTTAAGCAGAAAAATGGGTAATGGTTTTATAAAAATACCCATTTTCTGTGTGTATGTTTTAGATTTTGTAAAATTCATGGAATATGATGTATCCAAAAAGTCTAAAATATAAACATACAGTATCAAAACAATTCTCAAACACCACGCAGGCCATGGAAAGAACAGTGCATCTCAGATGGCTCCAAATGTTCTCCCTGTACCTTGAACTCTGAAATTAAAACACAAGATTCCCTGTCCTTTACACTACATTTAAAAAAAAAATTTTGTGGCTTCAATATTAAAATCTGTTATTTATTACAAGATAGCTTTCTTACACTACATTTTTATTTATAATCTTCATATGCATCTGAAATAGTTTGTGGAAAACATTTCAAGAGGAGGTTTAGTGTGGTGACAAGAGGCAGACTTAAGAGTCAGAAAGTAGCTGGGGGCGCAGCTTAAGTGGCAAAGGATCTGCCTAGCAAGTGCTAGGCTCTGAGTTCAAACCCCAGTACAAGGATGTGAGGGCTGGGAGAGGGATGGCAAAAGGACCACCAGGCCAGCTACTTAACTGGTTGGGTGACCTCGGGCAAGTCCTTTCCCTTCCTCTTCCTCATCTAAATATGCAAATGAAAGCTCAAAGGCTTTCAAGATTGTTGTAAGGACTCAACTCACAAACATGACATTTATTCAACAAATTTATTAAGACCTGCTAGGACATAGCCCTGTAAAAAACAGAGATGGATCAAACACAGACCCCACTCTGAAGAAGCTCACAGTTTAGAAAGAGATAACTACTAAAACAACACAGTTGGTAAGTGCCTTGAAAGAGAACCTAAAAAGGCTGTAGTGTTCAAAACCCTGGGATCAGAACTAACCATAGAGAGGCAGGAAGGTACGAGTCTCCATGTGGAGCTGAGCTTAGGAACATCCAGGAAGGATCTTGCCATGGCTCAACCACATCCCCTGGACCTCTGCTGCTCACTGTAGACTGGCCCACTGCAGGGAAGTGTAGACCACCTTACCATCAGGCTGAGGTGAGCAAAGCAGCAGTGTCTTTCTGACACTGGTTCCGAGACGGCCAGCAGAGACCAGGTCCTGGAGTGGAATGGGGTCTTCAGGAGCCCAGCACTGAGCAATGTAGTGGGCATGGAAACGGAGTGGGTCACCTGCAGGAAAGAGACAGACATGTGGCAGTTCCCAACAGCAGAGGGAGGGAAGACACTGGATCACCAACATGGGATCATTTTTAGCAATCACTATGAATATTCTGAAGCACACATGGTATGGATTTTTGTAAGTATAGTGGCACTAAGGTACACCTACAAGAGCAATCACTTTGTTAACACTCCTAATGGCCAAAAAATGGAAACGATCAAACCATGGACTGGTTAAATTCATAGCACATCTGTATACAACTATTAAGATTAAAAGAATGAGCCAGGCACTGGTGACTCACACATGTAATCCTAGCTACTTGGAAGGCTGAGATCAGGAGGACTTTGGTTTGAGGCCAGCTGGGGCAAACAGTTCTTGAGACGTTTATCCCCAAAATAACCAGAACAAAATGAACGAGAGGTGTGGCTCAAGTGATAGAGCACCTGCTTGGCAAGTACAAAGCCTTGAGTTCAAACACCAGTTCTACCAAAAAGAATTAAAAAAAAAAATTAAAAAAATGGAGCCAGTCAGGCACCTGTAATCCTAGTTACTCAGGAGGCAGAGATCATGAGGATCATGGTTCAAAGCCAGCCCAGGCAAACAGTTTGTGAGACCCTATCTCAAAAAAAACCGATCACAGAAAAGGGCTGGTGGAGGGGCTCAAGGTGAAGCCGAGTTCAAACTCCAGTACCCCAAAAAGAAAGAATGGATCCAGAGGTCATAGTACACATCTGTAATCTCAGCATTCAAGAGGCACAGGGTGGGGAAATCACTTGACTTCAGTTCAGGAGTTTGAGACCAGTAGACCCTATCTCAATTTAAAAAAAAAATAATACCAACAAGGAAAATGGTCAATGACAGAATAAAAGTAAGAAAAGATGTTTATAAGAGGATGAAGCAGTAAATAGATGGGAAAGGGATCCACAGAACTTTCCCAAAAAGAATCAGATAAATATTTTCAGTTTTGTGAGCCATGTTACACTTAACTCTGCCAGTGTACCACAATAGCACCCAAAGGTATATGCAAGCAAAGGGGCAGAGAATAGTTTCAATAAAGCTTTATTTACAAAAGCACTTGGTGGGCCAGGTTTAAGCTGGGGCCGTAGCTTGCCCCTAGAGTAAGAATCTGAGTGAGGCACTGTGCAGAAGAGTAATAATGGGCAATGAAAAACTAAAAGGGCAAAGCTATGTGTCATCCCATCAAGAGGAAAACTGTCATTGCATCCCTAAAACAAAGCCCAGCCTGGAGCAGGGTTTTCAGCAAAAATCTAGCCTGGGGCAACACTTCTCTGGTTATTGCCAGACCTCAGCCAGCTGTGAAGAGTAATCAGAATGCTTGGGAAGCAGGGTGGGGATGTAGCTCAGTGGCAGAGCACTTGCCTTGAATCACAAGACTCTGGATACTCAGCATCACACAGGCATCACACACACACCACACCACACCACACCCCCCTCCATACACACAAAGTTTGAGTGGTTCAGCTTAAGGTGTATAAATATAGCTGGGCACCGGTGGGCTTACACCTGTAATCCTAGCTACTCAGGAGGCAGAGATCAGGAGAATTGTGGTTGGAAGCCAGCCCTGGGCAAGTAGTTCCAGCTATCTAGTAAAATGCCATCACAAAAGGGGCACTGGCAGAGTGGATCAAGTGGTAACAGTGCCTGCCTTGCAAGTTCAAGGCTCTGAGTTCAAACCCTAGTGCTGAAAAAAACAAAATAGAATCCTGCAGTGAATATTCTTATATTTTTGTGCACACGTGCAAGGATTTCTAAGTGAATGTTTTAAATCATAGGAATGTTTAGTAAGTTACTAAGCTGACTTCCAAATGAACATGAGAGCTCCAAAGTGCTTTTAGTTTCAGAGGCTAAAAGAAGGTGAAACAAAAGGAAAACTGCAAGGACTTGGGGTGTGGTTCAAGTGGTAGAGCATTTGCCTAGTAAGGGCAAAACCTTGAGTTCAAACCCCAGTATTGCCAAAAACAAAGGGGAGAGGGTGCAGAACATATTGAGAACAGGAGGAAAAACACAGCCACCTGAGCCTCAACCCAAACTACCAGGATAGACCAGAAAGTCTCCGCCAAACTTGCCAGCTGCACTAAGGAAGAAGCCTCGCTCCCACAGGTCCCTGTAGATGCTATACCGAAGCTCATGAGCAGGACGGCCAGCATGGGGCCAGTCTTTGGACTGGACACGCCAGTTCAGGGGTCTAGCCTTCACAGGTCGAGGCCTGGCGGTGGCCAGCTGGATGAGCAGGGCGGATCTGGGCAGCGGGGCCACCCCATTCGAAGGCCCTGGTTGGGGAGAGGAGAGGACTGCGGAAAGGAAGTGCAGAGAAGAATTTGGTGAATCCAAATTCCAAAGTCCTCCCACCCCCCAGTGAGACCCAGCCAAATTTCCCCAAAACTCCCCTTCCTCCTTCCCTTGGTCTCTGGACATCAAACCCCAGCCTCACCTACTCCCTCCTTCTCCCCCTGCTCCCCAGAAGCCTGGGCGTCCTCGCTGGTCTCATTCCCTTCTGCAGCTTGGCTCCCACCGGCCTCCTGGCTCCCGCCGGTCCCTGAATCTTGTTCCAGCTTCTGCTTCTTGGCAGCCTGGCCCTCTGCAATCTTCTCCAGGAGCTCCTGACGCCGGGTCTCCCGGGCCTCGGCTGCCAACGTGCTTTGCTCCTGGAAGCTCTGCTCTTGCTGGCGTTTGAACGATGCCAGAGCCTAAAAAGTAAACTTAGTCGGTGCTTCAGGACCTACTTTTTGCGGCCTCTTAGCCAGCTAGGCATCCTGACTCCCTGCACCCTCCCGACCACTCTTTCCAGTACGGGGACTCCCAGGCCCTCCCACCCCACAGTGGCTCCCCCAGTTCTTACGAGGCCGTGGTGGCGAGGATCAGGACGCGGAGCGCTGACGAGGGTCACAGCGCCGATCTCGGCCAGGAGCCGCGCCTCTTCGGGCATGAGCAGCAGCGGGAGGCCCAGGCGCGAGTTCTGGCGAGGCCCGCGGGGTAGGGCGCCCACCGTGCGGCCCCCCACGCCCAGGCGCTCCCGCAGCGCCTGCACCGCCTCGGCCCCCCACACCAGCGAGCGGCCATTCGCCACCTCCACCACCAACATCCTCCTGCGGAACGGGGTCGCGGCAATCACCCAAACAGCAGCTTGGACGCCGCGCGAGCCCCCACGCCCCCAGTCGCCGCAAACACCCGCCTTGGAGCTGCAGGGATCCAGCCCAGTTCGCCACCTGCGGCGAGAGGCCAGGCCCCGCCCCCTCTAAGCCCCACCCCTCCGGTTCGGCCCCTATGATTTGGTCTTGTTCCGAGCCGGACCCAGACTTTCTCACTGTGAAACCCCGCCCCCTTCTGAGCGCAAGCGGACTCGGCGTTGGGCGCCCTCCGCTTGGCCGAATCCGCAGCCCCGCCCCCTTTCCGAACGTAGGCGACTCGGCATTCGGGTGTCCTCGCCTCGGCCGAATGTACAGCCCACCCTCTTCCGGCCACGAGTGCTGTGGTATTCAGGCTTTGCCTCATCAACTTCCATCAATCCCGCAGCCTGTGACCCCGCCCCCAACAGCGCTCCTCTTGTAGGGGAGTTTCCGCCTCACAGTTGAACCCCACAGTAGGAGGCCCCGCCCCCTGTGCACCCGCTGTCTGCTCTTTTGCTAGGGGGACTCACCCCTCTTGGGAGCGCTCAGCCTGCGTCCTTTGCTTCTCTTCAGAATGTCTTACTGTTCTCCGATGGAACCAGCTAGTCACCTCGCAAACATCAACCTTAGTCGAGGCGGAGCCAACACCTACGTAGCGCACCCCGCGCTGCCTCCACCCCCCCCAAGCCGACCCCCTGCGTCACTTTCGTCACCCTGCCACGTCAACTAAGCGAAAAGTCTGGGGTCCACCTACGGCAGGGCTGTAACCCCACCTCCGTCCCCGCGGAACGTGTTGGCCCTCGCTCACGGGTTTGGGTTCCGCAACTTGGGAAAATGAGGCTCATTACCCTAGCCCCGCTCCGTAGGCCCAAGAGTCTTCCGGGGTCCTGTCCCCTTTAGTTCGCTTTTTCCTGGCCCCTTTGTAAATTATCTGGATCCCCGCTTCTCTCGTGGACTGTGACCCCAACTTCCTCCGAAAAACTAGGCTCGTGGCTTGGCAAAGCTGTTGGCACCGCCTATTTCTACATCAAGGTCGTTTATACCCGATTACTTCCAAAGTAAAACGAAATCTGTAGCCTCACCTGCATCCGAACAGGTACTTAAGCACTTGACTATTTGAAGTAAACCGAAGCTCATGCCCCAGCCCACATCCTGCCGAGCTTGTGGCCCCGCCTAATTCTGAACAGTGATTGATGTACTCGACTATCTCTCCGAAGGAAGCCGAAGCGGAGGCCCCGCCTCCTTCCGAACGCCGAGCTCCAGGCTCCGCCTCCTTCCCGGGTCCTATCGCGTTTGTTCTGGGCCGCGAAGCTCCGGGCCCCTCCTTTTTCCGAGTTCGAACCCACACCCCTTCACGTACTAGCTGTTCCTTGCCCCGTGCTCCGCAGATCGATTGTTGCCGGTGTCCAGTCGCGGACTCGTGTACCCGGTTTCCTCCCTGCCCGGCTCAAGCCCTGACGGCCGCCTCGTCCCTGGCCCGGGATCGCGCTGCCAGGCCGATCTCCCGCAGGAGCAGGCGGTGCGTGGGCGTGCTGAACCGGGGAGGCGTGGCCCGAGCCGCGGCGGACACAGGCTGGGTCTGCCTGGCCTCCTCCTGCCCCGTGGGCGGCTCAGGTGCGCAGAGCTGGGGGCGCCCCGGGACCGGGTGTGGTCGCACGGCGGGGTCGCTGCGGATCGGTGGGTGGGCGGGGTGCGGGGACGGCACCCGGAGCTCATCGAGCTTGGTGGCGTAACTGCCTGTAGCTCTGCTGGGTGGGATCTAATTGGCTCCGGGCTGCGCGACGCCGGGCTGGGGCTGCGGAGGGAGCCTAAAGATGGGAGTATGGGCTGTCGGCTCTTGGGGTCTTTAGGTAGGAGAGGGGCCTGGAGCTCTGAAGAGGTGTAAGTTGGAGGTCTGGCCTCCTATAGAAGGAGAAGGACTAGATGGGGATGCAAGGGGTCTGAGTTCCTGGGTTCTTGAAGAACGAGAGGCTGGGGGACCCGAAAAGGGGTCTAGAGGGTTTCTGAGAGTTGCTGGGTCTTTGAAGAAAGATGGGGAGAGAAGTCTGGATTCCTGGGCTCCCGGAAGAAGGGTCCGGTAGAGGGCTTATTTTCAGGGCTGTTAAAGATGTCTGGGTCTTAAATGGGAATGAGAGGTGTAATTTTGACTTATGCCTTGGCAAAGGAGTGGGGCTGGGAGCTGGATTCCCGAGTCCTCGAAGAAGGAGAGGGCTTAGGTCTGATTTCCTGGGCTTTCAAAAGAAGAGGGCTGGAGGCCTGGTTCTCCAAGGTAGATAGGGGTGGGGCCTTGATCCTCTAGCCTTGAGGAAGAAAGGGACCAGAAGTACAAGGGACGGGACGGGAAGCCAGGACTCCTGGGTTCTGACTATAAGCCCCTCCTCTCATCCCTCCCCCAGACCATGTCACCCGAAGAATGGACATATCTAGTGGTTCTTCTAATCTCCATCCCCATCGGCTTCCTCTTTAAGAAAGCTGGTGAGTCAAGTTCCCTCCCAAATGGAAAATAAAGGAGGGAAGACTAGTGTGTGTGTGGGGGGGGAGATGACACTTGGAAGATTATAGGTTTATGCTGTCCCTTTTCTTCGCAGGACCTGGGCTGAAGAGATGGGGGGCAGCAGCCGTAGGCCTTGGGCTCACCTTGTTCACCTGTGGCCCCCACACTTTGCATTCTCTGATCACCATCCTTGGGACCTGGGCCCTTATTCAGGCCCAGCCCTGGTGAGATCTGGGTAGAGGGAGGGGAGAGAGAGTGGAGGAGAGGAGGAAGCAACCTGTTTCCTCTTTGGGTCTTTCTGCAGCTTCTGCTTCAGCCTCTGAATGTCTTGTTTATCTCTTCCTTGTTTCTCTGTTTGTCTCATCTCTTTTTTCTTCCTCTTCTATCTTGTTCTCCACCTTGTCTATGTGTATTTGCCTCACACCTGTCACCATTCATAGTCATTTATTAACAACCCCCCTCTCCAGTCCTGAGCTCTGGATGTTGGTGATGAAGACAAAATGGAGGACTTAAAGGTTGTCACTCTGAAGCGTTTCTTAACCCCCTCTTCATTTTCTTCTTTGTGGCTGTGCCTTTCCATGTGACTATGACTCTTCTGACCCTGCCTCCCATCCTCTAATTCTCTCTTTGGTCTCACCTTTTCTGTGTGAGTGGGGAGAAGTAGGAGAGTATTTGTGGCTAGACTCTGGGGAGGGGGGAAGCACAGGCTGAGGTCTCTGTGCCCAGCACAGTGTGACACCCCCCCCCCAATCTCTGCTTCAGCTCCTGCCATGCTCTGGCTCTCGCCTGGACCTTCTCCTATCTCCTGTTCTTCAGAGCCCTCAGCCTGCTGGGCCTGCCCACTCCCACGCCCTTCACCAATGCTGTCCAGCTGCTGTTGACACTGAAGGTCAGACTTGGGGCTCCATACTCCCTGCAACCTCCTTGTGAGCTAGTTAGCCTCTCCCACTCCAGCTCCTCCCACTATTCCCATGGAGAGTGGGTAATGGTTTTATCTCTCACAAACCCGGAGCATGGAACTTCACCACTCCCTGGGGACAGGGTTCACATCTCACTACCCTTGAATATTCACCTCTTCAATTATTCTGGGCAAAGAAATGGCTCGAGTGCTCTAATGAAAGGAGCCATTTGGCTTTAGAGTGTGCCTGTCCAGCATGCTTTGCCAACATACTCTCTGTGAGTCTGTAGCAAGTCATTCTGCAAAGGAGGAAAACCACTCTGGGAAGAAGATGCCTGGCTAAAGGCACAAAGCTGGGACTGCCACGTCTGCCATAATAACCTCAGAAGATGGGTGAAAATAGATCCCTAGGCCCTGGTTTAGACCTACAAAGTCATGAGTTCCTACTATGTTCTGTGCTCCAATGACATATCAGCGAACAGAACACTCATGCAAAGTCCTGAACTGGTTTTTCCAGCATTCTATGATCTTATCAGGAGCTTGAGTATAGGCAGGTGTGGTCAGCTGAGAGAAGAGTCGGAGGAAGACCCTTTCAGGATGTGTATGGACCAGTGCATGGGGAAGGGAACAAGTTGAGTGCCACAGACCATGCCTCCCGCATCCACTTTCTGCTAAGCACGCAGGGGAATGGGCAGCAAGGGCATTCCACATGGGGCATTGTTGGCCATGGTAAGAAGTTTGGACTTTCTCCTGTAGGAGACCAAGATCTACTGGGAGAGTCGGTTTTGGTTTGTTCTTTGGAGAGGGGATCGACCAGTGTTGCACTGTTTAAAATAATTCAGTCTGGATGCTGCGCAAAGAATTGAAGTGGAAGATGGGATAAGATAGGGTGACTAATGGTGGTGGCTTGATATATGCTATCAGCTATTAATAGGTGACTGTGTCCCAATATGAAATGCTGCTCTGAAAATAATTTGAGGGGTGTTTATTTGCAGCTGTGCAGGCAGGATGGAGAGGAGGAGAAGGGGTAGTGCAGAACCCTGGACCAGGAGCCAAGTGCTCCCACAGGGGATGGGGGAAGGGCAGGTCATGGAACCTAGAATATAGTGTTGTTTAGCACCAGCTCCCCACTTGAAAGCATTCTCTGTGATGATCATCTTACAGAGAAGAAAAATGCGGGCCTCACCCTCCTGCCTTCCTCCATCTCCCACTGGGACTCTATCCATGGAACCAAGCAAGAAGCTGGAAAACATACCTGTTGCCCTAGGGTGGGCCTTGGCTGTGGTGGGTGGAACAAGTAAAAGGGAGGTAGGCACACCTTAGGCCCACAGAGGAGGCAGATAGAAGGGAACAGACTCAAAAGATGGGACAGGTTGGGTCTGGGGGGTAAAGGAGGTTCTGGCCTTATTTAGCAATTAATTGGATAGTGATGCCCTTTCTCTGATGGAACAGATTAGAAGATGTGCTTTGGACAGTCGAGTTGATAATATTGTGTTCCATTTTGGAAATGTTAGGTTTGACATCCCTGGAAGACATTCAGGTATAAATGGCAATAGGTAACTTGTGGGCTAGGTTGAGTGTCATCAGCTTGTGGATGGTATCTGAAGCCACAGGATTGCATGAGAGCATGAACGCTGAGAAAGAAGAGGAGGGCCTGGGACTGAATGCTGGGGATGGCCACCAGCTAAAGGTATTTCCCACCACTCTGGATTCACAGCACTGCCCATGGACAGGGACTCAGCTCCAGCTATAGGCTCCTAGACAGCTTGTTGTTGAGGCTAGTGGCTTAAGGGAGCTAGGTGTGAGGAGGGCCCAGAGGCTGACCAGGGCCCACTGTACCTGTATCCCCCCTTCTCCCAGCTGGTGAGTCTGGCTAGTGAAGTCCAGGACCTGCATCTGGCCCAGAGGAAGGAAATGGCCTCGGGATTTAGCAAGGAGCCTACCCTGGGGCTGCTGCCAGACGTTCCTTCCTTGATGGAGACACTCAGCTATAGCTACTGCTATGTGGGAATCATGACAGGTGAGTGGACCTGCTCAGCACATCTACCCCTGCACCTCAGTCACCTCTGCCCTACTCCATCTGGATTTCAGTACCTGTTCTTTATTCCTACCCTACCCCAGGCTACTTCCATCCTAGCCCTTGCTGCCTCTGCTCAGGCACGTCTGACTCTACTGCAGGATCAGAGTTGCTTCAGTAGACGATGACTGTTCTCAGTCTGAGTATTGCTTACTTTTCTCCTCCTAACTTATTACGAGATGATAGGAGAGATAAAGGAGCTAAGCCTGAGGAAGCCTTATGGTACTACCTCCCAGGGAATAAATACAGCTTGAGATTGAGTTTTAGTTTCAGAGAATATTTTTCATGAACAGAGGCTTTTTTGTTTTGAGATAGTCTTGCTATGTAGCCCAGGCTGCCCTTGAATTTGAGATCCTGCTGCCTCGGCCTTAAGAGTGCTGGGATCACAGACACACCACCACACCCAACAGCTTTCTTTTTTTTTTTTAAATTACAGCTTTAGGGAGCTGTTATTCTCGTATCCACCCACTTAAAGCGTGCAGTTCTCTGGCTTTTAGTATAGCCACAGAGTTGTGTAACCATCACCACTGTGTATGTTTGTAGAACAAGTACATCTCCCTGAGAAGAAATACTTTCAGTCACCTCCAAACCTCCATCCATCCCTGTGAACCACTAATTGACTTCCATCTCCATAGACGTGCCTGTTGTGGACATTTCTTGTAAATGTGGTCTCTTGTGAACATGCCAACCCACCATTGTATCTCAGAGGCCACAGCTATCTCCTATTTCCCGTTACCTCACTTCCACAGCCCAAGCCAGAGGAAGCTGATGAAAGTGATTTTTTTCCCCCTAGCACTGGAATTCATGCTTGCTAGGCAAGCATTCTTACCATTTGAGCCATTCTACCAGCCCTGAGATGGTGAAAAGTGTACAGGAACGGGTCTTTCCCTGTTGGAAGCTTACACTGGTTTCCTAGCCCTGCCAGGCCTGGGGGAGGATCACTGCCACCTTCTTCTCTCCAGCACTGCTTCAGCTCTGACTCATTCATAATGAGGTCACCCCATCTCCAGGTTTTGCCTGTCTGTCCCCCTCTGTCTCAATCTCTCCCTTTCATTCTTGGGGTCTTTGTGCCTTTCTATCTAATTTTCTTTTTTTTTATTATTAGCATATAATAGTTGTACAGGGGGATACATTGTAATACTCACATATGTGCTTACAATATATCTTTTTTTTTCTTCTTTTGGGCAGAACTGGGGTTTGAACTCAGGGCCTCTTGCTTACTAGGCAGGCACTCTACCATTTGAGCCATACATACTCCATCCCACAGTATATCTTAATTAGATTCACCACCTCCATCATTCTCCCTCATCCTCCCTCCCTCCCCTTCTTAGAACAATTCCAACAGGTTTCATTATTCTGTTTTCACACATGAATACAAAATACATCCACCATATTCACCCTTATTCCCTCCCACCTCCAACTGGTATCCAACCCCAGCCAAGACCTGTTTTACCTTTCTTTCTTTATTGGTGGTACTGGGGTTTGAACTCTGTTCCTCACACTTGCTAGGCAGGCACTCTACCACTTGAGCCATTCCACCAGCCTTTTTTTGTGTTGGGTCTCAGGAACTATTTGACTGGAGTTGGCTTCTTGCTGGTAATCCTTCTGATCTCTGCCTCCCAAGTAGCTAAGATACTGGCGTGAGGCAGCATGAGTCACTAACACAGCTCTTTTTTTTTTGAACATTTTTGTTAATATATGATAGTTATACAGAGGGTTAACTTCTGATATATACATGTTTAACCCCAAATTGGTTCATCTCCATTATTTTCTCTCCTACCCCATTACCTTCTTAAGGTGTGTCAACAGGTTTCAATGTTGTCATGTTTATACTTGTATAGAAATTACATAGCCATGTTCACTCACCTTTACTCTCTATTATTAGCCTCTCCCTCACACTAATATCTAATTTTTTCCGTCCTTCCTTCTGTCTGAATTCCTGGACCCTATCTTGCTGGGTCTCCGTGTTACGCCCCTTCCCCCCCCGCTAGGCAGGCACTCTACCACTTGAGCCATTCCACCAGCCTTTTTTTGTGTTGGGTCTCAGGAACTATTTGACTGGAGTTGGCTTCTTGCTGGTAATCCTTCTGATCTCTGCCTCCCAAGTAGCTAAGATTACTGGCGTGAGGCATGAGTCACTAACACCCAGCTCTTTTTTTTTTGAACATTTTTGTTAATATATGATAGTTATACAGAGGGTTAACTTCTGATATATACATGTATTAAACCCCAAATTGGTTCATCTCCATTATTTTCTCTCCTACCCCATTACCCTTCTTAAGGTGGTGTCAACAGGTTTCAATGTTCCATGTTTATACTTGTATAGAAATTACATCAGCCATGTTCACTCACCTTTACTCTATTTATTTACCCTCCCCCTCACACTAATATCTAATTTTCTATCCGTCCTTCCTTCTGTCTGAATTCCTGGACCCTATCTTGCTGGGTCTCCGTGTGTACGCCCCTTCCCCCCCCACCCCCACACCACCCCTAGTTTTGTACCTGTCTACTTTCCTCTTCTCCCATCACTGGCCCCTAACCCTCTGTCCTTGCCCCTTTCCTTCCCCAGTTGTGCATAGCATCTGACCACCTGCCCCCTCTCCACCCCACAGGCCCGTTCTTCCGCTACCGCACCTACCTGGACTGGCTAGAGCAGCCCTTCCCGGAGGCCGTGCCCAGCCTGCGGCCCCTGCTGCGCCGCGCCTGGCCGGCCCCGCTCTTTGGCCTGCTCTTCCTGCTGTCTTCCCATCTCTTCCCTCTGGAGGCCGTGCGTGAGGATGCCTTCTACGCCCGCCCGCTGCCCGCCCGCCTCTTCTACATGATCCCGGTCTTCTTCGCCTTCCGCATGCGCTTCTACGTCGCCTGGATTGCGGCCGAGTGCGGCTGCATTGCCGCTGGCTTCGGGGCCTACCCCGTGGCTGCCAAAGCCCGGGCCGGGGGTGGCCCCACCCTCCAATGCCCACCCCCCAGCAGGTCAGGCGGCGGGAGGGATGCTATCCAAGACCCAACAGGCCCCACCACCAAGGGCTGGCCCTACCCCTAGCAGGGAGGGGAGCAGGGGGCAGGTCCACTACCTGTGTGTCACCCCTCTGGCAATCACCACTTGCCTTCCCTGATCAATAGGGTAGTGGTAATCCTGGTACCTATGGATTGCCTCTTGTTGCTAGTGCTTGTAATCCTTCAATATGGTGAATTGCCCTCCTTTGCTAGGTAAAGGTGGTATCTTAGCAAACACACGCCTTCCCTGTGTTGCCATGGAAGTGTATCCCAACTATCAGATTGTTTGCAGTTGCTGGAGATGCCATCCTTTGGTAATGGTGGCATCCTGTGTTGCTACAGGAATGGTTCCCTAGCATCTGAACTGTCCCTGTGCGAGGGAAGCCAGACCCCTAGCAACCATGATTCACCCCTTCTTGCCAGAAGTCTTGCTCTTTGTGGCTGTGAAGCCTGTGCCCCCCTGAATTGCCCCTTTGTGGCTGGGAGCCAGCACCTCGCCCCATGGGATGTCATCACATAGCTGCTCTCAGATGCTCTCTGTTTCTAAGGAAATAGCATCCCTTTGTGCTTGCCTACAGTTGAGGGAATGCCATTCCTAACACCACAGGTCACCTTCCTCCTGTTGCCAGGGAAGGTGAACCTCCCCCTGGTGGTTATGGCTTGACCCTTATTGCTAGTAATGCTAACGTGTCCCTGCACTTTCATTGCTAGGTGAGTCACAAAGCTAGTAAGTGAGGGGCTCATTGCTATGGAAATATTACTCCTGCATTGCTAGAGAAATGGTACCCATAGCAACCAGCAATGGGCTGAACCTCTGTTCCTAGACTCCCCTGTCAGCCTTCCACTTGGGGCTGGGGCTGGGGCTGGGGCTGGGGCTGGGGCTGGACTGGTACAGCAGTCTTTCAATGTATATTACAAACCACTCTTGCTAGGGTTGTGCCACCCCCTAGTAGTCACAAACTGCCATAGTGTTTGGGGGCAGTGGCACCCCCACGTGAATTTACCACTGCCCTAGTAACCATGGGAGGACCTCAGCTGCTACAGAGATGTTCCCCCAGAAATTCAGGCAGGAATTGAAGGCTTTTCAAAATCTACCAAGCCCCACTTCTAAAGGATGGTTCCTCCCCATCATCCTTCAGGATGATGGACCAAGCATGTTTTCCCACGTTGGGGTTATTGGTATCAATGACCTGGAAACCACTGTATTCCTGAAGGTGACACTTCTGGAACAATCACAGGGAAGAGGAAAAAGGCCCTTTCTGGAAGCTTTTCTAAACAGCCCGGGCCTTGTTGCTAAGGAATGCCTTTGCCCTAGCAACAGAGATCATTGAGAGTCACAGGCTTAGAACATCTCCCTAGCAACCACGAACCACCTTGTTAGAGATACTTCCTTAGCAACTGCTCTGTCCCACAGTTCAGAAGCTTCTCTGAGTACACAGAGTTCAGTTGCTAAAGGACTCCATAGCTTAGCAACTGTAGCACCTCAAGGCTTTGTGGCTGTGGCAGGCCCCACTAGTGACCAAGGGAAGGAGAACCACACTGTTAGTGAGCTGTGACCCACCTACACACCTTGCTCTCCCAAAGACTCCCTCTTGGGTAATCCTACCTTGTGGTCCTACTACATACGACCGCCAGAGAGAGGTCTGTTGCCTGGCCAGAATCCCCTCCTTAGTTAGCATCTGGGGCTGGGACAGGAACAGGCATTGGGTGGGGCCTGGCTGAGCTGCATGTCTGTCCCCACCCTCATCCTCCACCCCCCCAGTCCGGAGAAGGCGGCTTCCCTGAAGTATGACTATGTGACCATTCGCAACATCGACTGCTACAGCACAGACTTCTGCGTGCGGGTGCGGGACGGCATGCGGTACTGGAACATGACGGTGCAGTGGTGGCTGGCACAGTATATCTACAAGAGTGCGCCTACCCGCTCCTATGTCCTGAGGTGAGGGAGCCCCGTACACATCCAGGATGGCAGAGAACTACATTTTTATACCAGCAGCATCCTGTAGCTTCCCTGCCTGAGTCCTTGCCACCAAGGCTCATGGGAGTTGTAGTTTCCTAGGCATATGCTGGGATAAATTGTTCCCACTCTCTGGGCCTAAGGTCATCCTTCCTCAGAAACAGTGTACTGGGTCCTGTGGACTCAGTTGCTACTCTTTCCACAATTTTGGTTCTGTAGGTTACTGAGAGGAATGAGTTGGCTTCTTGGTTTCTGCAAATTTTAAATGAGATTCACCTGTTTTATAGTTTGAGCGGAGGATTAAGTGAGAAAAAGTATGAAATGTACTTAATATGAGGCTTGACAGGTAAGCATTCACTATGTAATAGCTTTTAATATTTTTCATTCTTCCACATTATGCGTGTGTGTGTGTGGTGCTGGGGATCAAATTTAGGGTCTTGCAAATGCTAGGCAGCTGCTCTACCACTGAACTAAATCCCCACCCTCCTCCGGTGTTTCTCGAATGAAGACTGTGCTAGTCATTATTAACTTTACAGTCGTCAGAAGTGAGAACTCTCTCTTTTAAGAAGCTATCCCTGAACTCACCGTGTAGCCCAAGCTAGCCTCATACTTGAGATCCTCCTGCCTCAGCCTCCTGAATGCTGGGGTTACAGTTGTGCTCTACCAAACCCGGCAGAAGTGGAAACATTTTAAAGATAAGGAGACTGAGGCTCAGAGGGGTTAGGTAACTTCCCAGTTGTCCCTCAGCCTTCCCAAAGCCACCTGGTGAGAGCAGGATACACTAGTCAAGAGCTCTACCACTTGAGCTACCCTCCCAGCCCTATGGAGTACTTATTGCTGCAGCTCTAGAGCTAGATTTGTCTGGCAGGCTAGGACTTGTGGTTCAAAGATCCACTCAACTGTGAGCCAAGCATGGTAGCATAAACCTGCAATCCCAGCATTTTTATGAATTCCAGGCCAGCTTGGGAACTTAAGTCTTTGGGGTGGTCCTGGTGGGGGTGATGGAGATAATAGAGTAGGGAACTCTGGCTCAGCAGGATGTGGATTTGAAAAGAAGAGTCAGGGCTCAGAGAGGACTGCACATGGAACATGAGCAGAGGAAATGAAACCTGCCTCCCAGCCTGTGGGCAGCAGTGGCCAAGGTCACTCGAGGGCCATTCTCCACCAGGGGAAGACCCAGCAGCAGGAAGTTCTGGGAGTGGGGTTTAGTCCATTAACTTTAAGGTGATGTCCT